TCAGACAAAATACTGTGATAAATGTAAAGAAATTCTACCTGGGATAAAAGTCTGTCCCGGAGGACAAAATTCACATTTAAGGTTCTTGAGGAGGTTGTTTGTTAGATATCTGAGATATCTGACATTGTAATAATTTCCTCGGAAACTGCTTGTTGATCTGAGGCTGGCATGATGTCACCCGAAGAACAAAAATCTATTTTATTTTGAACACCACTATGTTCGAAAATGGTTAATAGCCGACGTCTGCCAGGGATTCTCTTTATGGCCGGGAGAGCAATCAGGAACAGTTATTAGTATGATAAAGTTTCCCCCTGCAGTAGTCTGTACAAGTAAGATGAGGCGAGATTCTGCGTAAATTGGTGGAGAGGATAATACACTTGCAAATTTCAGGAAAGGATTTTATCAGTTCCAGCTGCGCAAAACTGAACCGGAACAATAGGATCTGTGAATCAAGGTCTCTCCATTGAAAACACGGAACAGAAAATTTCAAAATGTTTAATAATAGATCCAGATCTGTACTGCAAATAAAGTGCCTGATGGTACAGTGTAACCTAAACAGAATAGTTTAAAGATAAGGGAAATAATGCATTGTTACATTTTATGTGATTTGAATAGAGAACAGACAAATAGTACATCGGGTCTCAGACCCTGGGATGAGGACATTTATTGATTCGTGTACCTATTTTTGTGTGTTTTGAATGGAAATTGACTTTTTTTTTATGGAAGACATGGAAATTAGTGCAATTTTATTTTGTGCATGGAAAATAGCTATGAGGTCACAATGTTCCCCACTAAGAAGGAAAATCACAGGGTTTATTGACCAATCTAAAAACTGTAGATAGAAGACAAAATTATGGCAAATTATGTCCAAAATAAGACAGACTCCAAATTCTCAAAGACTTTTCCAACTCAGCTATCTTGTTCCCAGTATATCTGTTCTCTACAATCTTTTGTTTAGTTAAAGGGACACTATAGTCACCTCTGCCTCTGCAGTCTCACTGTTCAATTTTATGCCATTTAGGAGTTAAATCACTTTGTTTATGCAGCCTAAGCACTTCTCCCTGCATGTGACTTACAAAACTTTCCTAAACACTTCCTGTAAAGAGTCATCTAATGTTTACATGACTACTGATCCATCTCCCCCCTGCCCCCATGGTTGCCGTTCCAAATAACACATGTGACACATTCCATAGTGGATAAGGCCCAACAGATAGTTCTCCAAACTTTTGTTCCATGAGCCTTAACAGCCGGCTACTTGCCATCAGCTCCGTGCAGGCTGTCGTCTCCCCAAAGCAACTCAGCATCTTTCTCCCTTTTCCAGCTGCGCTGTCCATGAATCCCGCCAAGCTGTGACAACACAAAAACAAACAACGAAACACCAGCAATAAACCTCCCAGAATTAGGGTGGGAGGGTGGGAAAAGCAGTCAGGGTCCCTCAACTGCTCCCACTGACTGGTAAGTTCCCTCCCCTTCTCTCTCTTCAAAACCCCTCAAACTTGCCACATTTGTAACATTTTATTAATCCAGCCCACAATCCATGGGCAGCAGTAATACCCCTCCTTCCCTAGTTGTTCAGGGGGAAACTCTTCCTTTATTACAAATTCTGTTTAATTTAGAATTTCTTATCTCATGCTCTTTTAATAGCTTGCTAGACCCTGTAAGAGCCTACTGTATATTATTAAAGTTCAATTTACGGAGCAGGAGATACAAACTTTCAAAGTAAGTTACATCTGATTGAAAATGAAACCATTTTGTTTTCATGCAGGCTGTGTGAGTCACAGCCAGGGGAGGGGTGACTAGGGCAGCATTAACATAATTAAAGTGATTTAACTCCTAAATGGCAGAGAATTGAGCAGTGAGACTTCAGGGGCATGATCTATACACAAAAACAACTTAGTTAAGCTAAAGTTGTCCCTTTAAAATCTCCCTCCTGTAGTGGGAATTTCTCAAAACAATCCTGTATTATATCCTATTCATCAGAAAGAAATGTCACTGTGCAGGTGCAAACGATACATTCTACACATCTATTACTATGTGAACATGTATTTGTGGGACGTACCCAGGCACAGATGCACAGTACTGTTTGCATACATAGTGATTATACACAATGCTTGTATACAATTGTGTTTATTGGCAGGTTGCCTAACGGACGGGGTTGGTGATATTATGTAAAATATCATTGATGAACGATTTACTTCCTGTAGCGTAATAATGACATATACCCTTCCATATGTTTATAGCATGAGAGTTATTTAGAGTGTACAGAAATGCTGAAACAAAGACTTTGAAAAAACTGTGGGCTGCTTGAACTGTGATATTATAATTGTAACATTTTCACTGTCACTTTTAAAACTGCAGTAGGAGATACATTGAATTAACTTCAATAACCAGGCAATGTTACCTGGGTTAATTGTAAACCAGAACTGCCCCCAGGCCATGTTACCCAGAGTCCAATACCATAAAGGAAACTCCAAACTCAGACTGTCCGACATGGGAGCACAATGACCAACAATATAGGACATAGTCAGAGGACTCTAGGGGCAACACACACATGTTAATCAGCAATGGGAGCCCGGCGCTGGAGAAAGGTAAGAATTTAACCCCTTCCTCCCCCTTCAGCCCGGCGAAAATGGGATCCGAGGGTGGGGGGACCCAAAGACCCTATAGAGCCAGGAAAACAAGTCCTTTAAGGATTAAAACTAAAAGGTCACTGCACCCCAACCACTTCATTGAGATTTAATAATCTGTGACAGTGCAGTGCCACTTCAATGCATCATTGTAGGAGTTAATTACACAGCGCAGTGCAGAGGAATTCCAGTAGGAGCAGAGTTTTATTGGAGTGGGTGCATTTTTAATGCTGCAAATGTGGGGTTAATGCTTCAGGGGCAAGGTTCACACTGGATGTGTTGCATTGCAGGTTGGGAGTTAATACAGCAGGTTGGGGGTTAATACAGCAGGTATGAAATTAATACAGCAAGTATGGGGTTAATACGGCAGCTGTGAGGTTAATACAGAACATGTGAGGTTAGTATGTCAGGTGTGAGGGTAGTACTGCAGGTGTGGGGTTAATACAGCATGTGTGTGGTTAATACAGCATGTGTGAGGTTAATACAGCATGAGTGGGGTTAATACAGCAGGTGTGGGGTTAAAAAAGCTGGTGTGGGGATAATACAGCAAGTGTATGGTTAATATGGCTGGTGTGGGGGTTAATGCAGCAGGTATGACATTAATACAGCAGATGTGAGGTTAATATGCCAGGTGTGGAATTGAATACAGCATGTGTGTGGTTTATTCAGCAGGTGTGTGGTTAATACAGAAGGTGTGGGTTTAGAAAAGCTGGTGTGGGGATAATACAGCAAGTGTGGGGGGGTTAATACAGCAGGTGTTGGGTTAATACGGCAGGTGTGAGGTTAATACGGCAGGTGTGGGGTTTATACATCAGGTGTGAGACGAATATGGCAGGTGTGGGGTTAATACAGCAGGTGTTGGGAAAATACGGCAGGTGATGGGTTAATACGGCAGGTGTGAGGTTAATACGGCAGGTGTGGGGTTTATACATCAGATGTGAGATCAATATGGCAGGTTTGGGGTTAATATAGCAGATATGGGGTTAATAAAGCATGTATGGGGTTAATAAAGCAGGCGTGCGGTTAATATAGCAGATCTAGGGTTAATAAAGCATGTGTGGGGTTAATACAGCAGGTGTGAGGTTAACACAGCAGGCGTGAGGTTAATAAATCAGGTGTGTAGTTAATACGGCAGGTGTGGCTTTAACAAATCAGGTAAGGGGTTAATACAGCAAGTGTGAGGTTACTACAACAGGTATGAGGTTAATACAGCAAGTGTGAAGTTAATACGGTAGGTATGAGGTTAATATAACAGGCGTGGAGTTTATAAATGTAGGTTTCTTTAATATTCTGATTTTATTCAAAGATTTAGTGTCATTGATTTATGACACATTTTTTACACTTGGTTGGCTGCAGGGCATGTTATGGGGTGGCGTTTTGGGAGGGGCTTCAGTCAATATATATGTGTGAGTCCATGACATTTACCCTTGAGCTGATGCCCCTAGATTTTCTGCCAGTGGGTGTACTGTTATTTATTGTATCAGACATAGGCGTGCGCAAGGGGTGTGCCTGGGCACACCCTAATCCCCACGGCGCGCCTATGGAGTGAGACCGGCAGGGGAGATCTCAGGATCCCCCCTGTCGGCTCATGCAGAGCCGGCGCTATCTGAGCGCCGGCTCTGCTCTAAGCCTCCCCTCACCGACCAACAGGCAGTGAGGGAGGCAGGAGAGGACCCGGGGAGCTCTTGCCAGCAGCTCCGCTGGGTTCCTCTCACAAGATCTGAGCATTGCCGCAGCAATGCTCAGATCTCGCGAGAGTGAACTCTAGCCCCGCAGGCTAGAGTTCACTCACCACTGGACCACCAGGGAAGGCAGAAAGGATCCCCCCTGCCAGGCATAAGGTAATAAAGGAGGAGGGATATTAAGTAATCTGCCCCCACCTCCACTGGACCACCAGGGAAGGCAGCAGCACGGTCCCCCCTCCCTACATAAGGTAAGAAGGGGGGGGGGGATATTTATTAACTAATCTGCCCCCACCTCCACCCCCACAAATCACCCAAACATACAGCACACACACAGCACACACACACACATACAGCACACACACATACATCACACGCACAGCACCCACACACACACATACAGCACTCACACACATACAGCACCCACACACACATACAGCACCCTCACAAAGACACACAGCACCCTCACACACAGCACACAAACAGCACCCTCACACACACACACAGCACACACCCTCACAAACACAAACAGCACCCTCACACAGCACACTAACAGGACCCTAACAAACACACACACAGCACATTAACAGCACCCTCACAAGCACACACACACACAAACACCCTCATCCACATGGCACACTACCAGCACCCTCACACACACATCACACTAACAGCACCCTCACACAGCACACACACACACACAGCAGTGTATGTGTGTGTGTATATATATATATATATGTGTGTGTATATATATATATATATATATATATATATATACATACATACATACATACATACATACATATATATACGCGGCGTGTGCTTGAGCTTTAGGGTGCACACCCTAATGCAATAGGCTGCGTACGCCTATGGTATCAGATCTAACCTTCATAATAATGCCATATGCAATAACTAGTATTACAGAATCTCTGCAATGGATATTTGGAATAATATCACCGGGGCAGCCTGTTAGATGGGTCCCACTTGATGAAATATGCACAAAAACAGAATAAGTATCCTATAAAATGTTTTCTTACTTCAAATAAACTGAAGGGCAAAAGGAAAAATATAGAGAGTGAGAAAAAAAGCAAGCTTTAGGATAATGCTAAAGGGGGTAAAGACAAAAAGGTCGGAGCTTTGACGAGGGTAAAGGCTGAGAGGAGCAGGGCCGCCATCAGGGGGTGACAACCATAACGGTTGTCACGGGCCCGGCGGCCCTGGGGGGCCCGGCCGCCCGGGCCCCACATGTGGGGCCCATCGGGGGGCCCACACACTTAGGGCCACCCGATGGGCCCTATATCTTCAGTGGCCCGGTCAGCGCTGTGGCCGCGACCGGGCCCCTTTAAAAAAAAAAAAAAAAGCCGCAAGTGCTGCTGGGAGGAAGTGGTCACTTCCTCCCAGCCCACTCCGCGCGGGAGGAGCGCGCGCGCCGGTGAAGAGGGAGAGCCAGGCAGTGAAGAGGGAGCCGCGCCGACTCCCATCATCCCCAGCCACCCTCCTGCAAAGAAAAGGTAAGAGACAGGAGGGTGGCTGGAAAATGAGCTGTGTGTGTGTGTCTGTATGTGTATGTCTGTCTGCATGCATGTATGTCTATGTATGTATGTCTGTCTGTGTATGTATGTCTGTGTGTTTGTATGTGTATGCCTGTCTGTATCATCATGTATGTCTGTCTGTCTGTATGCATGTATGTCTGTATGTCTGTGTATGCATGTATGTCTGTATGTCTGTCTATGTATGTCTGTATGTATGTCTGCCTGTATGTATGTATGTATGTATGTGTATGTCTGTCTGTAGGCATGCATGTATGTCTATGTATGTATGTCTGTCTGTATGTATGTCTGTCTCTGTATGTATATCTGTCTGTCTGTATGTGTATGTCTATGTATGTCTGTCTGTGTGTGTCTGTATGTATGTATGTGTATGCCTGTCTGTCTGCATGTCTGTCTGTCTGTCTGCATGTCTGTCTGTATGTCTGTATGCATGTATGTCTGTATGTATGTCTGCCTGTATGTATGTATGTGTATGTCTGTATGTCTGTCTGTAGGCATGCATGTATGTCTATGTATGTATGTATGTATGTCTGTCTGTGTGTGTATGTATGCCTGTCTCTGTATGTATATATGTATGTCTATGTATGTATGTCTATGTATGTATGTCTGTCTGTATGTATGTGTATGTCTGTCTGTATGCATGTATGTATGCATGTATGTCTATGTCTGTCTGTGTATGTATGTATGTATGTGTATGTCTGTATGTCTGTCTGTAGGCATGCATGTATGTCTATGTATGTATGTCTGTCTGTGTATGTATGTCTGTCTATGTATGTATGTATGTGTATGTATGTCTGTATGCATGCATGTCTGTGTGTGTCTGTATGTATGTCTGTGTGTATGTCTATGTTTGTCTGACTGTATGCATGCATGTATGTCTATGTATGTATGTGTATGTCTGTATGTCTGTCTGTCTATGTATGTATATATATATATGTCTGTATGTCATTATATATGTATGTCTGTATGTCAGTATGAATGTATGCCTGCATATCATTATGAACGTATGTCTGTGTGTATGGATGTCTGTATGCATGTATGTCTGTCAGTATGTCTGTATATATGCATGTATGTCAGTCTGAATGTATGTATGTATGTCTGTATGCCATTATGAATGTATGTGTGTATGGATGTCAGTATGTCTGTGTGTGTATGTATGTTTAACGGAACCGCTGGCACCCCGACCAGGTACCTTCCGCCGACGGATGCTCCTAGTGCTTTCCGAGGACTCCAAGAACTCTGCCTGACACCATAACCACTGCAGATCCAACGAACCGCCGCAGCTTGGTTGGGATCTCGCCGTCTCCACCCACTCTGGACCCAGGACCAGGGTCCAGCTTCCAGCAGGTCGACCTCTCTCCGAATTCCAGAGAGCAGGAACAGGAACAAGCTCTTAGCAGAGCTTAGTGATTATACTCTGGGGAGTATAGTGATTATAGCAATCCCCAGAGTGTAGTTTCTCCAATCCCCCAAACATGAGCCGAAACTTCATGAAGGTACAAGATGATCTGACTCCAATGAGCGTTTATTACTCCTTATATACAAGTTTTCAGGTCAGAGGCACACCCCTGGACCTGGTGGTAAACTGTGACAAAAGGGACACAAACCAATGGGAACACTAATTAACATAATAACACTCTCACATACACAATTAAATCCCTCCTCTCCATCCTGGAGATAATTGGCTTAAGGCACTGCAGTAAACTCAATTATCTCCAGGTACAGAAAATATCTACATTTTACACTAACAGCAAAAATACGTAAAAGTACATAAAAATACATAATTCTTATTTTATTACACAGAACCCCCACGTTTAACCTATCCCCAGATAGCTCGGATCTGAGCGCCCAATCTAGGTGAACAGCGCTCAGATCCCATGAACAGAGTAGATTTTCCACGGGGTAAAGCATAACAAGGGCTGTTGAGAAATAGTGATGTCGCGAACCCGAAATTTTCGGTTCGCGAATGCGAACTTCCGCAAATGTTCGCGAACCGGCGAACCGCCCGAAACGCCATTGACTTCAATGGGGAGGCGAATTTTAAAACACACAGGGACTCTTTCTGGCCACAATAGGGATGGAAAAGTTGTTTCAAGGGGACTAACACCTGGACTGTGGCATGCCGGAGAGGGATCCATGGCAAAAACTCCATGGAAAATTACACAGTTGATACAGAGTCTGGTTTTAATCCATAAAAGGGCAGAAATCACTAACATTCTAAATCACAATCCAATATGGATTGACACCTGACATATGACATATTGACTTTGCTTGACATATGGATTGACATACCTGTCCTCAGAGCCTGATGCACCGCAGGATTTTTAGAGCAGAATAGAGACTGGTCCCCACTACACTTAGGGTCACCAGACCATGGATTGACACCTGTCCTAAGGTCCCCTGATACACACTGACACAGAGCAGAATAGGGACTGTTCCTCCTACATAGGGTCACTTGGCAGATATGGATTGACACCTGTCCTAAAGGTCCCTGATACACACTGACACAGAGCAGAATAGGGACTGTTCCTCCTACATAGGGTCACTTGGCAGATATGGATTGACACCT